TTGTTTGCTTGCAAAGCTGTGTCATTCAAATAGATCATAAATATCATACAAAAACAGTTCAATGCTTAATTGTTGTATTTGGTGTATTGGCAAACTTGCATTTTTTATTGCCTAAAGTGAGCAACTTGACCAGTCTAAATCATAGCGACGGCAGTGTGGTCTTGAGACGCTTCATCCATTTTATTTTAATTTTATTATTGTAATGAGTTACCGGTTTCTCAGGTTAATCATATGTGTATGCCCACCGTAACCTTTTCCCGCCTATTATGTACTAGAAGTGGTGATTACTATAAGCTACACAGTCTGTTTTGATTATCTCCCTTGCACCCCTTGCTGTAGGCATTTGTTTCTATTTTGATTACCTCCCTTAACTCATCACCACGTTGTTCCATGTTTGCCCCCTGGACATGGTATATATATATATATATATATATATATATCCATTTGTCAATAACTTTAATATTGTATGTCGATCATTCAAGCACTCACCAATCGCATTCTCATTATTCATCTATACTTCAGTATTTTGTTATCATTTCTATAAAAATCTTACATTTATGGTAAAATCAATTAAAACGCTTTGCCTCGATTTTTGTTTTTTACTCTTTTGGTATTTGTATGAAATATAATAAATGAACAAATAAATATAATAATTAAAATTGCATTATGATAATATCATTAAACAAGCAGCACCTTATATTGACTGTATAAGTGCGAGATGAGTTTTTTTTTCTTTACACATAATTGTAGGGTTTTCTGTATTCATGTCACTAATGAATCAATTTCTAAAAGAAATTTGTACTTTATATATCCCACAGGACGTTTCTAGTTTCATTATACTTTCTTTTGAGTCTGGTACTTATTTTATGTATCGGAAGGTTCATCTTTAATTACTACCTCATTTTATTTGTTCTTTCAGGAAAAACATTCCGTCCCGTACAAATCCTTCCATGGGAGTGTCAGTTCAGGGAAAAACGGAGTGAAAAACGGGGACTCCATGTCCAAACCATCATTCTTTCTATCCGAAGAATGTGAACTCAATAAAAGGTCGGGCACCAATTCAAAAAACACCAAACTTTAATTCCGAACAGTAACTGTCTGTTTATCAAGTAGGATTTGTTTCGGTAATGTCACCGTGTGCCATGATTGTATAAAACTCGGAGAAAGCCGAGCAACCACTGCCTACAGAACATGCAAATGTTCCCTACAGGTTGTCACGTGACGCGCCGCCGATCGGATGAGAGGATATTTCTACGTCGTACAGAATTCGTGCTATTTTGTTTTATTTTTTATTTCTGCCTTGGAAATTTGATTCATCGTTTTAAATGTGAACAATTGTATTTTTGAAATCCTTCAAAATCATATTTATAGGTGTATTACATGTTTGTGCCTTGGTATTTGAATACTTATATACATAAGACCATTTGTTCACGTGATGAAATCCAGATTTCGGTCATAAAAATCATTCTGGTTAATATTTTTATGAAAAATACAATACAAATGCATTTTCATTTTAACACTTTTCTAGACTAGAGAGTGAAGTATTTTTGCCTTTAATATGGCGGTGCCTGTCAGTAGGAACAAGGCTAAGTCATGCTTGTATGATTAGAAACGTTACTAACGACATAATCTGTGATAAAGTTTCAATGATTTTGTGTCGGTAAATATAAATATTGTAGTCAGCTCTCAAGCATTCCAATACAGTTTTGTTAAATTTTATGACATTCTACACGAAATCCAAGCCTTTCCCTTTGTTATGTATATATATAGCGAACCCTATTGTTTTCGAGCTTCCCATAATCTAATTTAGACAATAGTTCATAGATTTTTTTTCAAGTGGTGGCGTTTTGTTAATACATATTATTCCATTAGAGTCTTTATGTTTAAACTACTTCAAATTTGATGATATTGCTTCTAGTCCTGTATCCACACATAGAAACCGCATGATCCTGGTGCATTGTGCATCAACACATATATATATCGTACCGCTCATCATATGTAATATTTTTATAATTCATTACAACATGGATGATACATGTACAATTATAGTACTAAAGAATGTATGAAATCAATATGGACATATCACGTGTGAAATCTACAAAACAAAACATATCGCTTTGAGTTCAATTTTGACATACTGGATGTGTTTCAATGACAACTAGAGAGCGTTTCTTTTACGGCTGTGATGTGTGACCTTCATGCTTGAACGGCGTTTGTGGTGGCGTTTTTTAATACATATTATTCCATCATAGTCTTAATGTTTAAACTACTACAAATTTTGACATACTGGTTGTGTTTCAATGACAACTAGAGGGCGTTTCTATTACGGCTGTGATGTGTGACCTTCATGCTGGAACGTAAAGCATGCTGGGAAAGATTTTGGGTTGATGCATACAGTGTGTATATTATTTACTGTCTACAACAATCGATTTTACTATGAAGTTCTATCGTAAACATTTTGTATTGAATTGTAATGTTTCATATCATATACAGTGCATTATCACATGGAAAATCCAACACGGTGAAAGGTATAGGTAAAACCTTGAAACAAGATAAACAGTGAACCAATAAGTACATGACATTGTTTAATTTGTTTAGTGTGATTTTATAGAGAAAAAAAAAAAAAAAAAAATTCTTAAAGCGCACATTCCTATTTTTCTAGTTAGTGCATTCTATTTTTTTTATACTTTGACTTCTTTTATACGTATTACTGTTGTTATACATTAAAAGTTTAGGTGTATTCAAATATACATAATGTATGTACAAATTAAAGGAAAATAAAATAAAAGAAAAAGCTGTAATGTATTTGATTTATTATTTTTAATTGATAAATTCGAATTATCTCTCTTAGGCCATGCCTTAAGGGATCCTTGTTATACCGCAACATTCTCTTTGTTTGTATAACTGTCCACATCCCCTATCTACGGTGGCTGATATGGGGCATTTCGTTGTTTGTATAACTGTTATAACTGTCCACATCCCCTATCTGCGGTGGCTGATATGTGCCATATCGTTGTTTGTATAACTGTCCACAACCCCTATCTACGGTGGCTGATATGCGCCATTTCGTTGTTTGTATAACTATCCATATCCCTTTTCTACGGTGGCTGATATGTGCAACTCGTTGTTTGTATAACTGTCCACACCCCCTATCTACGGTAGCCGATATGTGCCATTTCGTTGTTTGTATACCTGTCCACATCCCCTTTCTACGGTGTCTGATATGTGCCATTTCGTTGTTTGTATACCTGTCCACATCCCCTTTCTACGGTGTCTGATATGTGCCATTTCGTTGTTTTTATAACTGTCCACATCCCCTATCTTCGGTGGCTGATATGTGCCATTTCGTTTTTTGTATAACTGTCAACATCACCTTTCTACGGTGGCTGATTTGTGCCATTTCGTTGTTTGTATACCTGTCCACATCCCCTTTCTACGGTGTCTGATATGTGCCACTTCGTTGTTTGTATAACTGCCCACATCCCCTATCTACGGTGGCTGATCTGTGGCATTTCGTTGTTTGTATAACTGTTATAACTGTCCACATCCCCTATCTATGGCGGCTCATATGTGTCACTTCCTTGTTTGTATAACTGTCCACATCGCCTATCTACGGTGGCTGATATGTACCATTTCGTTGTTTGTATAACTGCCCACATCCCCTATCTACGGTGGCTTATATGTGCCACTTCGTTGTTTGTATAACTGTCAACATCCCCTTTCTACGGTGGCTGATATTTGCCATTTCGTTGTTTGTATAACTGGCCACATCCCCTTTCTACGGTGGCTGATATGTGGCATTTCTTTGTTTGTATAACTGTCAACATCGCCTTTCTACGGTGGCTGATATGTCCCATTTCGTTGTTTGTATAACTGTTATAACTGTCCACATCCCCTATCTATGGCGGCTCATATGTGTCACTTCCTTGTTTGTATAACTGTCCACATCACCTTTCTACGGGGGCTGATATGTGCCATTTCGTTGGTTGTATAACTGCCCACATCCCCTATCTACGGTGGCTTATATGTGCCATTTCGTTGTTTGTATACCTGTCCACATCCCCTTTCTACGGTGTCTGATATGTGCCATTTCGTTGTTGGTATAACTGTCCACATCCCCTTTCTAGGGTGGCTGATATGTGCCCTTTCGTTGTTTGTATAACTGTCCCCATCACCTTTCTACGGTGGCTGATATTTGCCATTTCGTTGTTTGTATAACTATCCATATCCCTTTTCTACGGTGGCTGATATGTGCCCTTTCGTTGTTTGTATAACTGTCCCCATCCCCTTTCTTCGGTGGCTGATATGTGCCATTTCGTTGGTTGTATAACTGCCCACATCCCCTATCTACGGTGGGTGATATGTGCCCTTTCGTTGTTTGTATAACTGTCCACAGCCCCTTTCTACGGTGGCTGATATGGGACATTTCGTTGTTTGTATAACTGTCCCCATCCCCTATCTACGGTGGCTGATTTGTGCCATTTCGTTGTTTGTATACCTGTCCACATCCCCTTTCTACGGTGGCTGATATGAGCCATTTCGTTGTTTGTATAACTATCCATATCCCCTTTCTACGGTGGCTGATATGGGACATTTCGTTGTTTGTATAACTGTTATAACTGTCCACATCCCCTATCTGCGGTGGCTGATATGTGCCATTTCGTTGTTTTTATAACTGTCCACATCCCCTATCTATGGCGGCTCATATGTGTCACTTCCTTGTTTGTATAACTGTCCACATCCTTTCGTTGTTTGTATAACTGTCCTATGTGCCACTTTGTTGTTTGTAAAACTGTCCACATCCCCTTTCTACAGTGGCTGATATGTGCCACTTCGTTGTTGGTATAACTGTCCACATCCCCTTTCTACAGTGGCTGATATGTGCCGTTTCGTTGTTTGTATAACTGTCCTATGTGCCACTTTGTTGTTTGTAAAACTGTCCACATCCCCTTTCTACAGTGGCTGATATGTGCCGTTTCGTTGTTTGTATAACTGTCCTCATCTCCTTTCTACGGTAGCTGATATGTGCCATTTCGTTGTTTGTATACCTGTCCACATCCCCTTTCTACGGTGTCTGATATGTGCCACTTCGTTGTTTGTATAACTGTCCACATCTCCTTTCTACGGTAGCTGATATGTGCCATTTCGTTGTTTGTATAACTGTCCACATCACCTTTCTACGGGGGCTGATATGTGCCACTTCGTTGTTTGTATAACTGTCCACATCCCCTATCTACGGTGGCTGATATGTGCCACTTTGTTGTTTGTAAAACTGTCCACATCCCCTTTCTACGGTGGCTGATATGTGCCACTCGTTGTTTGTATAACTGTCCACATCCCCTATCTGCGGTGGCTGATATGTGCCATTTCGTTGTTTGTATAACTATCCATATCCCCTTTCTACGGTGGCTGATATGTGCCATTTGGTTGTTTGTATAACTATCCATATCCCCTTTCTACGGTGGCTGATATGTGCCATTTGGTTGTTTGTATAACTATCCATATCCCCTTTCTACGGTGGTTGATCTGTGCCATTTCGTTGTTTGTATAACTGTCCACATCCCCTATCTACGGTGGCTGATATTTGGCATTTCGTTGTTTGTATAACTGTCCACATCTCCTTTCTACGGTAGCTGATATGTGCCATTTCGTTGTTTGTATAACTGTCCACATCCCCTCTCTACGGTGGCTGATATGTGCCATTTCGTTGTTGGTATAACTGTCCCCATCCCCTTTCTACGGTGGCTGATATGTGCCACTTCGTTGTTTGTATAACTGTCCACATCCCCTTTCTACCTTGGCTGATATGTGCCATTTCGTTGTTGGTATAACTGTCCACATCCCCTTTCTACGGTGGCTGATATGTGCCATTTCGTTGTTTGTATAACTATCCATATCCCCTTTCTACGGTGGCTGATATGTGCCATTTCGTTGTTTGTATAACTGTCCACATCCCCTTTTCTTCGGTGGCTGATATGTGCCATTTCGTTGTTTCTTATCAGCCACCGTACCTTTCGATGCTGTGTAGTATGTATACGTACTCCGTGCTGAGGTAACATTATCAGTACCCGCTTTGTCAACACTCACTTTTAGTTTCATAAACATTACGAACGGCATTTCGATACATTTCAACTGCAAGGCAAAATGGTTCATAAATTCTAATATCCAAATTGTTACCTTTTGATATGCAGAACTATTGATGCATGTTTCAGTAGAAATTCAAAAAAAAAATACCTTCATTCAAAAAGATGTAAAAATATTCCTTTACCTAACATCTTGCTATGCATGGAGTGAAACTTACCAAGGTATTGCAACATGAGAAATTGATGAAGTAGTAACCTCGTGTAAAGCCGGGTAACTCAAATACAAAGCCATGCTTACCCTTAACGTGACAGCATTCTTTTACGACAAATAAACATATGGTAAGTAACACATATATTTGATTACAGTTTGAGGCTGACATCGACCACTCAATGCTTACCTGCCATGTAGCGTACTCTCATTTAGAGTTCTGTCATATAGCGTATATACATACTGAAGTGTTCTACTCTATTTTCCAGTAAAACTGCTATTACAACAGCTGCATACGCAATGGTATATATGAGATTGAATGACATTTTAAAAAAAACAAATGTTAATAAAAAAAAAATACAAATGTTAATGAATAAAGTAGAAATCCCACTGAAATGCAGCATAGTCACACTTTCAATTAATCACTTCATAGTTAAAACGTTGTCTTTATATAGTTATTGACTTAACAAACAAACAAACAACAACAAAAACGTGTTGCCAAAGAATTAATTGATGTTGAAAAAAATCAGCCAAAGGTTATTTTTCAAATAAAAGAATGTATTGTCCGTCAGATGAGGCTGAATTTCTGAATAGCTATTGTGCTTACATAACTAACAATTTGATGAACCCACACATAACAGTTAACAACCATTAGATATAACCCAAACTCAATACACAACCACAGGACATCGCAGGCAACCTCGATCTTTTTCATGGAAATAAATCACCATGACCAGATGACACTTTCCAAAATTATCACAAACTTTATAAACAATTCAAAAAACATTGAAACGTGTAAGATACCAGATGAATGGAAAAAGAATCAAAATGTTATATTTAAGAACTGAATTGGACAGGGACATACCTAATTTAAAAACGATATCAGTAATTTCATGTTTCAATACATTAATGGGTAAACGTTAAGTATAAATCATCTCTACGTTATATTTTCACAGTACACAAACAAGTATATCAGTCTACTTAAAGTAAGTATGATTAGCAATATAGTACAAACAGTAACTTTAAAAATTTCGAAAGCATGTTTGGAAAGCAAGTCGTAGGTCCATAAATTGTTTATTAGGTGTATGTTTTATATCTAAGTGGTGTTTTAAATATTTCAGAATGTTCACAAGTGTAAAATATTTCAAATACAACTCGGTTATGCTTAGACCACATGTTCAGCTGTGTGAAATGTTAACCATAGTTACTTTAAGTAGGCCGAGATATTTGTAAGTGGATACGTTTTTATCAGATATTGATCAAACTAAACGTGCCTTTTTCAGCTCACAAGTTGATATATTTTAGTTCGTGTTAAGGGATGAGATTTTATTTCATGATTGTTATGATGATAGCACACGGAGCAAAACGGCAGCAAAGATTGTCACTTGATTTGTATGTGTCTAGTAAATCCTGTGCTTTGAACACACTTCAGAAAAAAAAGAGACTAAAAACCGGACTGAACATTCTAAAATTGACGAAAAGTATACTTTTGTGACAGCCTTTTG